TTTAAAAAAAACACTGAGAAAAAATTCGAATTCAACTTGTTTTTAAGTCGATTCTCTAGCTCACATACGTGAAGGGAAATAAAACCAAATCTAACAATTACATGATAATTTCATGAATAGATACAAAGAAAAATATTTGATTTGTTCATTATGCTTTGAAGTGAGGACTCAATAAAACAGTATTGCAGTATTTCGACTTTAAAGAAATTTGATGATCATTTTTTGACCAAATATTGTAATAAAAAGTAAAGATAATGACACGATTATAATTGCTATTTATTCTAGATTGACAATACAATATGGATCTAATTCTACATTCCAAACATATTTGGATATTCTTGCATGTTTATGTACGAATGGAAGTACATGTAATTTTGAGGAAAGAACTATAAAATCTGATCATTATCAGCTTGCTTCATGCGACTGTCTACCACAATATGATGGTATGTTCATTGAATATGAATTAAATTTCTTCTTTATAAAAAAAATCTTTTGTAAGGTATTTTATGTGAGTTGGTTTATGATGGTTGTACATCTGGTAGTGCTTGTAAAGTTAACTGGGATAATGAAACAACATGTATTAAATTGAATGCTACTGATCAATTAGCACAAAATGGTTCCTATTATTGTAAGGGGACATGTATAAAAGGATATCATAGTTCAGTCAATGGTTATACATGTGATGGCAAGAATTTATGAAAATCAAAAGACTTTTATGTAAAGAAATCTAATTTCAGATATCGATGAATGCAGTTTAAATTTGTCTTTATGTGGAAAGGGCACATGCATTAATCTTATTGGATCATATACCTGTGACTGTCCTTCTGGCTATCGATTCTATAGTGAAACGTGTGTTGGTAAGTTTTTCCCGGTGAAAAATGAAACAAATATGTTCGATTTTATATCCTATAAAAGATATTGATGAATGTACTGAACCAGATATTGATGGTACCTTTCTTCGACGCTGTAGTGATGGTGAACTTTGTATAAATACAGATTAAAATTATTTATGTGAATGTAGTTCTATTTTTAACAACAATGGAACTTGCACTTGTATGTATAGTCGAAAATTATAAGTACGAATCAATGCCATTGATAAATATTCGTTTTCTTAGATAATCCAAGTCTCTGTATTTCTACTACTAGTACCAACTGCATCGACAATAATGGCACCATCCTATGCATAAATAACAACGTCAAAAAAATGGCCATTGCATTTGTAAGTGGATTTGAAAGAATAAATGATTTAAGAGATATAAAACGATCAAAATCAATAGTTATTTCGACTTGGTGCGAGCAAACATGTCATGGATTTTGTGAACGAATAAATAATTCTTATAAATGTAATTGTAAGATAAATCCAGGTTTTGAATATTCTGATACTATCAAGGGATGTCTCCGTAAGATATATGTATTTGACATTTCAAATATTTTATTTTTATGATATTTATTTATCTGAAGCATGTCGTAGTGCAAACTATGGTTATGGTTGTAAGGAATCATGTCGACATGTCCCTGGAAAATGTAATCTAAATGCAACGCATGAAAATGAAAGCTGTACTTGTAATCTTGGATATCAACCACCTTTTTGTAGTCGACTTATTGATCAATGTGGTAGGAATATTTCATTTGTTCATCAATCTTTAGGTTATGAAGGAAATCTTTTTGTTCTTATCAGCAATTAATAGTCCATGTAATAATGCAACAGAAGATTGTGTGACAGATCCAAATAATGGTATTGCTATTTGTACTTGTAAACTTGGTTATGAAAGAGAAGACATAATAGGCAATTGTAAAGGTAGAATAATCAAAAAATAAGATTCAGTTTTGACGATTNCTCATTATACACGTGTCGAATAAGTAAAACTATCTTTTTCTATCGATTATATTGAATAAAAATGAATTAAAACAAAGACTTGTTGGAAAGACTGCTGAAAACTATAACTTTTTAGGGGACATAATAGAAGACCCCCCTTGTAACTTATGAGCGATAAGACAGAATAGAAGACCCTGGGTCTTCTAATGTGTCGGGGGCTTTATTTCGACTTTAAAGAAATTTGCTCATTATTGTTGACCGAATATTGTAATATAGATTGACAATACAGTATGGATCTAATTCTACATTCCAAACGTATTTGGATATTCTTGCTTGTTTATGTACGAATGGAAACATATGTAATTTTGAGGAAAGAACTACAATATCTGATCATTATCAACTTGCTTCATGCGACTGTCTACCACAATATGATGGTATGTTCATTGAATATGAATTAAATTTTTTCTTTAGAAAAAAGATTCTTTTGTAAGGTATATTCTGTGAGTTGGATTATGATGGTTGTACATCTGGTAGTGCTTGTAAAGTTAACTGGGATGATGAAACAACATGTATTCCATTGAATGCTGCTGATCAATTAACACAAAGTCGTTCCTATTATTGTAACGGATCATGTATAAAAGGATATAATAGTTCAGTCAATGGTTATACATGTGATGGTAAGAATTTATGAAAATCAAAAGACTTTTATGCAAAGAAATTTAATTTCAGATATCGATGAATGCAGTTTAAATTCGTCTTTATGTGGAAATGGCACATGTTTTAATCTTATTGGATCATATGACTGTAATTGTCCCTCTGGTTATCGATCCTATAATGAAACATGTGTTGGTAAGTCTTTCCCAGTGAAAAATTAATGAAATATGTTCTGTTTTCTATCCTCAAAAAGATATTGATGAATGTACTGAACCAGATATCAATGGTACCTTTGTTCGTCGCTGTAGTGATGGTGAGCTTTGTAGAAACACCAATGGAAATTATTCATGTGAATGCAGTTCTATTTTTAATAACAATGGAACTTGTACTTGTATGTATAGTCGAAAATTATTAATACGAATCGATTTCATTATTATAAATATTCGTTTTCTTAGATAATTCAAGCCTCTGTAATTCTATTACTAGTACCACGTGTATCGACAGTAATGGTACTATCCTATGCATTAATAACACCGTCAAAATAAATGGTAGTTGTATTGGTAAGTAGATTTGAAAAAATAAAAGATTTAAGAGAAATAAACAATCAAAATCAATAGCTATTTTGGATTGGTGCGAACGAACATGTCATGGATTTTGTGAACCAGTGAATAATTCTTATCAATGTAATTGTAAGATAAGTCCTGGTTTTGAATATTCTGATACTATCAAGGGATGTCGCCGTAAGATATATGTATTTGACATGTGAAATATTTTATTTGTATGATATTTATTTATTTGAAGCATGTCGCGGTCCAAACTATGGTTATGGTTGTAATGAATCATGTCGATGTGTCAATGGAAATTGTAATAGAAATGCCACACATGAAAACGAAAGCTGTAACTGTAATCTCTTATATGCGCCACCTTTTTGTATTCAACTGATTGATAAATGTGGTAGGAATATTTCCTTATTTTATCAATCGATCGATCTTTAGATTATGAAACACATTTTTTTGTTCTTATCAGCAACTAATAGCGTATGTAATAATGCTACAGAAGATTGTGCAACAAATCCAAATAATGGTACTGCTATTTGTACATGTAAACTTGGTTATGAAAGAAACAACGTAACTGGCATATGTACAGGTATGAGTAATCAATAAATGAGGTTAAGTTCTTTTGTTTTTAATTGATTTATGTATAGATATCGACGAATGTGCAATGAATGTAAGTAATTGCAATCCAGAAAGTTCAACTTGTAACAATACCATTGGAAATTACATTTGTGATTGTAAAGCAGGTTATCAGGTTCGTAAAAGTTTTTTAGTTTTCAAAAAATCCAACACTTAAAAGATTTTGCTGTATAGCTAAATAATGTTTCATGTATCGATATCAATGAATGTCTAAATTTGACAATTTGTGTCAATTATGATAACACATATTGTGCTAATGTTAAAGGCTTGTATGAATGTCGATGTAAGCATGGTTATTCAGTAGGAGGTATGGTTATAAAATCATTAAAATAAATATATCAAATAAACAAAATAATATTTTAAGGTCATATAACTCAAGCATATCAAAATATCTTGAACACAAATGATTTTTGTCAACCAATTGACTATTCATCATATTGTGAAAATCAATGTTTACTTCCTGCGACATGCAATGCAGCTGTTGGTCGTTGTGCATGTCCAAGATCAATATTTGATTTTATTCTTTCTTCGGATGCAATCAATCAAACATGTCAATGTCCTGGCCATCCATTTGTGAACTATATTAGTGAAAAGTGTATTTCAACAAATAGTAACACTAAGGTTTCTTATTAAATATTATATTATATTATTTATTACTTTTAGAGCCAACATGGTTCTTAATTTACTATCTTGTCAGATCATCAATGAAAAGGCTCGTTTCTATCGAATCATATTTGAAAGACGCAGTATGATGCATAATATACTATTTATTTCGTAATCATTTTTATTTTAAATGATAGGTATTAAATATTTTAACCCAAATAAATGGTTTGTATAAGACAACGGATATACAAATAAACAATACTAGGTAAATAAGAACGAATTTGAAAGATACTATGCATTATTTTATATTAGTCGGAATAGCGAATTACAAAATAATGAAGGAGAACTTTTTGTTGGTTTAAATATATCATTGAATGCTACTCATCGTTTGCAACTTGTCAATGAAATTCTTCAAAATACATTTTTAAATGCGAATTATAATTTGACAGTAAGAATGATAATGAATGAAAAAACTGGAAAGATAGGTAAGTTTAATCATAGAACAATAAAATGCTTAATATTTATTGGTTTTTGTAATCATTTTAGAAACTTTTACCGAAGTACAACCTCATTGCAAAGAGTGTGAATATGAAGATCGTGGTGTTTGTAGTATCAACTCAAATGATACATGTACATGTTTTTCTGATTTCGAAGGTTATTTATGTCGTCGTTTGAAGGTAACAAGAAAATAATCACTCCTACAGTCATCAGCTCATTCACAAACAAAATACAATATCTATATAGAGAAACTAGATAAAGATAGTGAACAGGAATGTTAAAGAGAGTTTTGTACAGATATAGTTTATTTTCATAAAGATTTAGCTATTTACTGATTCTGCATATCTTAAAGTCTATAGTGATTTAATCTCGAGCACTATTTCATGATTTTCCACATTACTTCATCAATATTCGAAGCTATTTCTTTTTTTTTTAATAGCTCTAAGTGAATAGTTACATAACCTAGAGAGTGAAACAATAGACTTCAAGAGATTTCGGATTTTCAAAAAGCTTCAAAAGATTTCAAAACTGAAGTTTTAATTGTCTCCCTCTCGGATAGAAACAAATAAAAAAGATTAAAATTCTTCATAAAATTGATATCGAATTAATGGGTTACTTATGAAAATAAACAAATTCATTGGAAAGAATTAAACTAATAACTATAGTTCTTTTTAAGTTCAAACGAGCATGAATTTTTCCAGTAGATTGACAAAACAATAAAAATTCAAATTTCTGCTAACATAATGTCATCAAAAGCCTTACTATTTCATTGGTTTTCTTACGAATTTTCCGCGCCTTAAATGTACGTCAAACATTTCGTAAGACTTCATAAGATTTCACAAAATTCGAAGAGACTTTGTAGAACTTCAAAATCGAAGTCTCAGTTATTTCGCTCTCACCTAATCCCAAGCACTATTTTGTAAATATTCATAGCTTATTAATTATCACTTAGCTACTTAATTATTATGACCTTTTGTATGCAAGAAAGGGATAGATTGAATATACTTTGGAATTGTTCTTTCATTTTAATTGAGAATAGATGAAATTAAAGATTGAATGCTAAAATTAAATTCGGAGAATATAAGTTTAGAGATGTCTTGAAAGTGATGACTTATTCAGAAAAATAAATAGAAAACATTACACAAGAGAATGAGTTATGTAATGTATTTAAAATTTGTGTATGTTTTTTCTTAAATAATTATCAAATCTTTAAAATAGTCACGATAGTTTTCTTTTAGTAACGCTAGTTTTCAATAGTTTATAATATGATCAAGATCAATAGAGTAAATGTTGTTATAAAAGGTAAAGATGTTTAAATCATTGAATAGCTGTTTATGAATTTTTTAATTAGCTATCAAATTAATTTAAATAGCAAAGAATATGTTTAAATAGCAATAAGGTTTAAATAGCTACTAATTACATAAAGAAGTACAATAAACAAACAACTATTACAAAGCAATCACCTAATTAAATCATTTAGTAGTGGCATATTATTTGAAAAAAGTATCTCGTTTCAGGTAGCAAAATCGACAAATTGGATAATTATTGTTAGTGTTATAAGTGCTATAGCTGGTCTTCTTCTAATTATTTCTGTTTCAATGTGTATTTTTTATATTATTGGAAAACGTCGTCATTCAAAAACAAAGTAATAATTAACAAAATAAAAAAGAATTTTGATTAAATAATTTTTGTTTTTAGAGAAACAAAACAATCAACAGATAATAGACAGTTTACCATTCCTCGAGCTCATCCTCCAACAATGGGTACTACGAGTAAAGATTCAATCGGTTTTACTGATTTGAATCGTATTACAAATGATGGACAAAGTAATGATGCATCTGATACACATTCATCTAATTCAACAACAACTTACAATCCGATTTATCGTACAAATGAAGATATTCAACATACATCATTACCAAGTGGTCCTATACCACAAACACAAATGCTTGGTATGGCTGATACATTAAACAGTTTTCCTCGTGATCTAATAAATAATCGATCTGAAGCAGCTAGCTTATTTTCGGATTCAAATGATATTGATGAAATTGAATTTACTGCTGATATATTAGATGATATGATAAAAGATGATAATAATATGGAAGACGATTTCATAGAAGCAATTAATCCGAATATAATAATACCAAGATCAACGACATGATTCGAAATAAAATCAACCTAGACAAAATTGTGTATGTCGAAAAAAAATTCAGTTTTATTCTATCTCTACCTATCATCCATTTCAAAAGATAACAGACTCCATTGTTTTTGAATAACTTTTGATAGGAATATCATGGAGACTTGCATGTTTCATCATTGAAGATAGACGACCCGTTATCATCAAAGCATATTGACATTTGATCGATCAACCATGGCGCAACCAGATCATACATGATCGAAACTTTCGAAAGCAATATTGTGAAGCTATTTTCCTTCCATTTTACACTTTTAAGAGGACTAGTCAATACAAAAATTCTTTTCCTTAAGTCTTTATAAGGCTGATATTGCTAGTTTTCTATATTTGAGAGTTATAATGCTCTTTTTTGTTTACCCTTGTTTTCAGTCAATTGTCCTGTGATTACTTGGAAAAGCAACGAGACAAATATAACTCATGGCGCTGAGTCAAGTAATAATATTTGATTTTAGGTTTGAAATGATCTGACACTATTATCTTAATATTTGTTAAAATTCCTCAATGAGTCTTCATGTAACAAATGAGTCAACATTTAAAAAAAAATGAGATAAGAGAGTCAGATCATTTCGAACCTGAGAACAAATATCATCATTCGACTCAGCACAGTGAAATATCCATGCCTTGGTGCTTTACTTGGTGATCATAGGTCAGTTCACTAAAATCGAGGATCGTAGAAAAAGTTTTAGAACTCTCACATGGTTTAAGCTAGAAATGTCGGCATTGTGTACAGTGTTTTATCTAGGTTTTTCACTCCGAGGGGGCAAACTCAGCTGTCGGGAGGGCAGACAAAAAATTTCTTAAGGAATGAACTATCAAGAGTATTTTCGAGTCTATTATACTGACGCTTGCAAAAGACAACCATAAGCAAAATATTAATTCGAATTTGATTGAAATTAAGGACGAAGGATAGTCATATTATATTGTGAAAAATGAGTTTGTTCTGTCTTGATACAGTTAGGTGACCTGATTCTACTACGAGAAGTGTTGCCTCGCAGTAATAGATCCAAAATTCGACTAATGATCATTGTACAGAACTGATTTTTAGTTTTTCTTTAATTGAATGAACACTTCTGCGTCGATCTGTATGTGTTCGATTACAAAATAATCAATCTTTGGTCATAAGAGGCGCGAGAATACGAGCAGGGTTTATTTTTTTTTCAATTTTCCTGATGTTTTCAATTATGCCACTGAGACTATTTTCAGTTCCTAATCCTTCCATTACTACGTCAAACAGAATGACGTCTGAAGTAGAACAAGATTTTATGGACACGATTGTGAAAAATATAAAAGTGAACTATGTCGAAAGGAGCACAAATAGACCTACCTCGACGAGACGGAGTCTATGGTTTATTCTTTAGCCACAACTAAGGAAATTTTTGTGCATGAAGTCTTGTTCTACTTCGAAAGATATTCCGTTTGAAGTAGAAATGAAAAAACTATGAGCTAAGAATACCCCCGTGGCATAATTAGGAACATCAGGAAAATTGAAAAAGAACTCGACTCCGTTCGTATTTTCCCTTCTCTTATGAAACAACGATGGATTACTTTATGATCAAATACATACAGATCGACACAAACGTTCACTTCATTCAAAAAAAAACTAAGGATCAGCTTTGAAAGATGATCAATAACCGAGTTACAGATTGATTACTGCGAGGTAAAGTTGTTCGCGTCAGAATTAGGTCATGCGACTCTAACACTATATTTGTTGAAATTATTCCAAAAATGTCGCATCAAAAATATTTTTAGGAAAATTTTATTGATATTATTTTTTTAAGTTTCATTTTTCTCGGGGGGTCAAACTCGGTCTCCGAGGGGGGGGGGCAAAATGTCCCATGCCCCCCACTGGATAAAACACTGATTGTGTAGCTCGAACGAGAAGCATTTTCCCTTATTAATTAGTCTTGCTAATAGCCTAAGTCCAGTCGAAAGGGATTCAGATTCAGAATATCGTTTTCGAAAGTGTCTATCAAGAACTCAGCTAATCAATCAATTGTTGATCGATCAGATTTCGATTTATTTCAATGGTCTTGAGTCTTCTTACTTGAACGGTGAAAATTGCAGATCTCTATGATGTTCCTATGATAGCTTATTCAAAGAACCCGTGAAGTAAATTATATTTGGAAATGGATAGTAGATATTTTGTTATTCTATTTTAGTTCTTTCATTATTTATAATTTACTTCAATTACTTTTACGAACATATAAAATATAAATATGTGTATTTCAAAGAGAGTATTTATCATTTACTGTTTTGCCATTTTCTCCTCATTAAAATACAATGCATGTTCGAAAAACAAGAACTTTTCAATAACTTTTTTGTGTTTCTTGCTTATGAAATGTGGGTGTAGTCATTTCTATGTTTGATATATGTATTAAATAAAAAAGAAATGGTATATTTGAATGAGCAGCCTCTTTTGAGAAAGTTGTTTTTTAACATTGGTTGTTCGAGAAAAAAATAATTAAACCGGACATATATAGCATGGTTCAAAAATGCGATTTTTAACTCTACGTCCTTATGTGTGACCTCTTACATTGAATAGCATCGACACATAACATGGAATAGTACGACTAATGTGTGTTATAATACATCAACGCCTCCTATTGTTTTCTGCCAATACCGAACACATATTTACCATAAAAGTACTGATACATGTCACAGCCTAGACTCTAAGATTCAACATATTGATTCAACTTAATATAAATAATTTTTTCAGACATTTTGTTTAAACTATTGTCGAAATGGTAATCGTTCAGTTGATGGAAAAAGGATAAACTTCTAGTTGTCGTCCTGGAACACATCTTGATTATACATTGAATTGTGCTGTTAAATAACAAAATATATAAGTATGATAATAATTATTAGTTTGTGTATGAAAGTGGATTAGCTGGTTCTAATTGTTCAATACTATGTGATCGTGAATTTGCAATATATTAATTATTGTGATCCACGTGTATCATTAAATTTAATATTTTATTTTGATTTTGCGTTCAGAAAACGATACTTGTAATGGAGTTGAAACAAATCGAGTTTGTAAAGTTGCATCAACTAATCGTGATAGATATAAAAAAATGAAAGCTTATGATTATCTTTGTAAAACTGGATATGAACAAGTACCAGGAATTGATATTTATCAAAGTATTAGTTTCTATAATAAAACAAGAAACAGAAAAAAGATATTCATTGTTTCTGTCATAGATATGAATGCATGCGATTACTGATGCATGTGTTGAGGAAGATGAATGTATAACTGATGAATCTGCATGTGAATCATATATTAATTCCTATTGTGTTTATTCTTAAACCATCTTTTAAATGTCGTTATCGTTATGGTTATGCATCAGATGGTAATAGTCTTATTTTTTGAAAAATAAAATATCTTATTTATTTAGGTCACTATAATCAAATTTATACGACTTTACAAGTCTATCGAACATATAGAATGAATAATCAATGTGCTGCAAATCCCATTGATTGTGGTGGTGGAACATGTGCTTATAATGCAAATTCAAATAATTCATTACCTACTTGTTATTGTAATAATTCATTGACACTTATTCAATTATCGGCAGGAAAATATGATTGTATTTTGTCCATCTAATACACATTATTATAATTAGTCGGCGACAAGTTTCGCCGGTAAATGAGCTCGTTTATCTCGTATATAATTAGAAGGCTGAACAAGTTGGTGTCGTTGTTACATATAGCATTCCCTGACAATTCATTATTCATATTCAGCTTCTGTGTTTTGTCGTTCCTATCCTTCAGATTTATTAACTAACTAAGAGGAATAAAAATGCAACATATGACATACAAAAAATGCTTGTCTGCTCTGAAAGAAGCCTAAAAGCAAGTGAAATAACACACTGGTATCGTGCTAACTAAGGTGTGGGCGCCGAATAATTAGTCATATTTTCGCTGGCTTCCATGAAATAAGATTATTGATTGAACCTGATACACTAGATTATAAAATTTCTCTCATCGAAGACTAACAGCAATTAGTTGACAATTATATATTGAAACATTCAACTGGGACTTCCAACCACTACGTCTTCAAGGAGTTCAGTGATTGAGTGAGCTGATGTGCATTGATAGATATATAGATCTCTTAGTTGCGGTTGCCGCAAATAACACGCTAGAATCAAAGCAGCGTATGATAATAAAGAAACTCAATTATTAGATTAGCCATCTCATTCACATGAATTCAATGCAATTGAGTATTGTTGACACTCGCTTGAACAAACAGTCAGAAAAGCACACCCAACTTGTTAAAGGAAGAGCTAAAAGTAAGACTCGATCATACATATTATCCGATCTCACATAAAGGTATCTAATAGGATATTTCATATACTCTTCCTTTAACAAGTTGGGTG